TCTCCGGACAGACCTGTGTAAAACAACCGGACAAAGATGCTGTGCAGACGGTCACTGCAGTCAGTCGCTCCACTGGCACGGAGCGCTTTAAAACCAGCCTGCAGGAACGGTGAGTCTGTGTTATAAAACATATTGATTCATAAAACCAAACGAAACAATTCAAATGATTGAAATGTGAAAAATATTGAACGCCTGGAACTGACTTTTGGATTCGACCGAAATCGACATTAAAAAAAACTTTGTTAAACTCGTTAAAATGATATATTATTTTATTAAAACAAAGACTGTCCGTTTCAGAACAACTGCACTAAATCACATATACAGTAAATACTGTATATGTGCAGACTGGGGCTGCAGGAGGAGGAGGTGCACAGGGGGGCGTGTCCTCCTTTAGGAACACTAAGTCCTGGACGCTGGACGTTATGAAAGAATCACAGAACTGTTTGCTTTTCAGAAGTTTTCCTTTACCATGTGTCGTTCCATTGTTGGTGTAATTTATCAGTTGTTCAACATGTTCATCATTACCTTTTCTATATACCCATTTGTAGGTCTCCTGTACTAGGAGTGTTGTGATAGTAATCTAAGGAACTACAACCACTGATAACTGTAGCTTCTTCGCTGTGACACAAATACAAACAAACTAGATTCACCCTAGTGTGCAATGTCATGCCCCCGTGGGGCCCCGCTCCCATCTTGGGAACCACTATAACATTATGTTGTTTAAACATCTTTGTGGTCCACACACAACAAACTTCTTTTGGTCCAACAGGAAAACGCCTGTTTGTCCAACTGACATATGGACAGGACAAGTGGACACCGATGTTTTGGTTTGACGTCTGTTTCCGCCTCTGCAGGGATTAAATGGTTACCAGAATAAAGAACCTGGATTTGAACTTGTCAGTGTTGCTGCTGCTGCTGCTGCTGCTGCTGCGACTGAAGTTTAAGAAGAGCAGTAAAAAGATTATTCATTACTGCAAGTTTTGGGGAAAAGCAGAAACAACCAGAGCTTCTTTAAATAAATGACCTTCATGACCTGGGAGTTAAAGTTTACTGGTGAATATTCATTGATTTCCTGTGAGGGTGAGGGTGGGTGGGTTCTTTGTTGGGTTTAGTTGTAGAAACTAAATTATCGACGTCTACAGAGATGCAGTGTTCTCGTAGCACTGATTCACCTGAACACATGCATGAAGTGTGTGTGACTGCTTGTTCTGTACACTGTGTCCCTACACTGCTGCACATGGACACAGTCAGAGTACACAACACACCAAACATAGGGAGGGGGGGGCGGTGTCATGCCTCCGTCATGGTTCACTCTGCAGACCTATTCATACGGGGGGAGGAGTTACATGTGCCTCCGTGCATGTATGTATGTGTTTGCAGGGAGGCTGTGGCGATGAAGCTGAGTCAGCACCTGTGGCCCAGGGATTAACTGTGACGCTGCTGCTGGTCAGTAATCTGACGGAGCAGCCTGTCAGAACGACTGGAACTGACTCATTGTTTTAGACTGTGTACGATTTATCAAGACACTTTGTCACATGATCTGTTACACACGTATTACTACAGTCAAATGAAAAAAAAATTACAAGTCGACCTCTTTGGACTTTGGTACATCTGGAAAAACATGTACTTTACAGATGTTTTGATGTAAAATCATAAAAAAAAGAACCTATAAATGAAGGAGGAAAAGAAGAGTCCAATATGACTGATATTTCTCAGCTGCTCAGAGACCAACACTGTATCATATGAAGTATGATATCATGTACCACGCTTTAAGATGTAGTTCTCCTAATTTCCTCACCCTTCACCCTCACCCTTCTCTGTCTCAGCAGTTCCTGTGCGTCACATGGCTTATGGAATTCCTAGTGGCTCTTCCAACAGGAAGTACTTCCTCCTGTGCGGGGGCCTGACTGCTGCAGTGGTCTACGTGAGTGATCAACATTTCTTTACGTGGGTCTTGAATATGTGGCTGGACACATGAACGTGTTTTCTGCTGAGCTGACGGACAAATAATAAATAAGTAATCAGACATTCTATCACTGATGGAATGTTAACACAACACATTTCAGACCTGACCTACTTTTCACAGGCTTACAAGTCAGTCAATGGTGAGAGTGAACGTCCAGAGGACCAACCCATCAGCACTGACTCGCCATCAAAAGGTCAGTGACACAAACACACACTCACAACAAGTGTACATGGTTTCACAAACACTTGGCTTACTTCAAATCATGTAGAAAGGATTATATTTTAATTTAAATGGACTTTAGCAGTTTCAGCGTCAGGGTTTATTGTCAGTTAAATGACCAATCAAATGAGGAAACTCCTGAGCTTCTCCTTTTAGCTTGTCTTGTTAGCTCCTCCTATTAACTTCTTCTGAGGGCACCAAAAAGCACAGCAAGTTAGTTTCCTGTCAGTGACAGCCTGTGGGCTGGATTCTTACCTAATCAGCCAGTAATCAGGAACACGCTAGAGAGATTTTTCTCAATAGCTTTTTCTCGCCTGTCTGAATCAATTTCTGTCTCTAAAGTATTTGTCAGCTCAGGTTTTTTCTGCTAGAGAAGAGAGAAAACTCACTGACATAAAGCAACTTCTGTCAGTGGATCGGTCATGTACAGTAATACATGGAGTTTCAAATGATTTCTTTGATGGCTTTCTGTGAGAGTGGAGAGAACAGATCAGAGTAATGTGAGGGGTAGAATGTTGCAGGATGACTAGTTAAACTAGTTGAGTTTAATACCATTTAAAAAAACATTTTCTCAAAGATCACATTAAAGAACAATATATATTTATAATATATATATATATATATTTGTGGTACTTTTGAAAGTAACTCAACTTTTGGTAGTAAAATGACAATAAAGACTATCCTAAGTGTATTTAGTGTTAACCTTCTTTAATCATGTGAACTCCCTTACTTCCTCTTCCTTTCTCAAAGTCAGTCCCACCGTTTTCAATAGTTATCAAAATCACGACTCTGGTGGGACTCGAACCCACAACCTTTGAATCGCTTCCCTCGAGCTTTGCTAGAAGTCCAATGCGCTATCCATTGCGCCACAGAGCCTGTGAGGCGAACTCTTAGTGGGTGTGTTTTTAATTTAGTGGGTGGAGCCCTGCGTGAACCAGAGGCGGATCTGAGAGTCTGGGTAAATGAGTGGGTGGTTAGTGGGTGTGGAGTGTAGGACATTCAGAGGCCTTCACTCATTCATAAATTGCAGTGAAACTGTAGCTGTCTTTTAGTTCAACACGTAACATACGTCCATTATTATTTGAAATTACACTTTTTTATTTATCATTGAATAAATTTTCCTATAATGTATGCTACAGAAATATAATCCTTATATTTTCAAATTTCAAAATATGTACATTACACACTCTCACACTCACAAAACCCCACAGTCATATCTGACTACAGTGTTTTTTCTCTGTAGTCCCAGAGGAAACACCTGCAGCTGCTCCTGTACCTGAACCTGCTCCAGTGGAAGAGACACCAGTTGCAGTAGAAGCTCCAGCAAAAGAAGCTCCAGCAGAAGAAGCTCCGGCAGTAGAGGCTCCAGCAGAAGAAGCTCCAGCAGAAGAAGCTCCAGCAGTAGAGGCTCCAGCAGAAGAAGCTCCAGCAGTTGAAGCTCCAGCAGTAGAGGCTCCAGCAGAAGAAGCTCCAGCAGTTGAAGCTCCAGCAGTAGAGGCTCCAGCAGGCAGTTGAAGCTCCAGCCAGTGGAAGAGACACCAGTTGCAGTAGAAGCTCCAGCAGAAGAAGCTCCAGTTGAAGAAGCTCCAGCAGTAGAAGCTCCAGCAGAAGAAGCTCCAGCAGTTGAAGCTCCAGCAGTAGAGGCTCCAGCAGAAGAAGCTCCAGCAGTTGAAGCTCCGGCAGTTGAAGCTCCAGTTGAAGAAGCTCCAGCAGTAGAAGCTCCAGCAGAAGAAGCTCCAGCAGTTGAAGCTCCAGTAGAAGAAGCTCCAGCAGAAGAAGCTCCAGCAGTAGAAGCTCCAGCAGTTGAAGCAGAGACACCAGCTACAACAGAGGTTCCATCAGTAGAGGCTCCTGAAGCTGAGGCAGCCACTGCTGCAGAGACGGCTGCTTAAACTTCTGACGACCTTTGTTTAGTTTAATTCAGGGAAAAGTAAAAGTTAGTTTGTCTTCTTATTACATTGGCCAATGACCACCAGGGGCCAACTCTATGGGCATGGTAGAAATGTGACTGTCGTTTACAATATGCAATACCACTGCTGGCCAACAGATGTCACCTTCTCATAGACATTAAATTAAAACGCTTCCTGTGCCAGATTAACTTGTATTGTTTTTAGGCCTTTGCATTTCTGCCATTATAAGGGAGTGGAGAGAAACATTAACAATAATTATCCTGAGCTTTCTAGTACTTCGTAGCTTGGACAAAAATCTTTTCAATGGTATTTCGTTATACCAAGATTGTGTTCACTGAAAAGGTAACAGAAAGTGTTGAGACCTGTGTGTAACATTTACATGTTTATGGTTATGATGCTGGTAAAGAGTCTTGGATGCGGTTGTTGGATGGTTCGAACAAAATGATATGAACTGCTGATGAATAGTTAAATTGGATTGTTGAATTGCATTAGCTACAGTGATTTTCTGACCTCTTCAGATAAGTTTGTTTCTTTAATGATTTAACTGATCCAAAAGGACTTTGTTCTGTACTACGAACCCACAAGTGTTCATATACACAATTAAAGGGATTATACTTTCTAGTTTTTAATTAATGTTTTAGGTAAAATAATGTTAAAGTGGCCTTAAAAAGTAGACACTGTCCAGTTCTGTCTTTTCTCTGAAACTCTGTACTCGTCTTCCTTGGCTCAGTCCAATCTTATTCCACAGAGTTGTGTTTATTTAGTTTGGGGATTTTCTTTCTTGGTATACATACTACTAGCTTTGTGGTGATTGAATTGATATTGTTTGAACAGAAATATGTTTGTTTGTAGTTTTGTGGAGCTGTATTTGTCATTAAGAATAAAACAAATACACATTTTGAAAAGTGTATTTTCTTTTTCAATTCTTTTTCGATCGTATTATTTCTTCATATAGGTGTCAGTCATCTTCATCTATCAGAATCACAATCGCCTGTCGATAGCAGGGATTTTGCTCCAGAGTCCCCTACCCTTAACTGGGAATAATAAACTGATGTGACCCGGCAGTAAATTTTGGACTAATTTCTTTGGTTATTTCTTAGTTAATGTTAAACCTAAAATAGGTCAGTAAAAAGAACATTTAAATGAAAACTAACTTTATTTTTAGTTTAACTGAAAATATAGAAAGTGTATCAATTGCGATGGTGATCTTGATGAGGCAGAATATAAAACATCTCTATATTTGTGGCCCAATGCTAACTTACGACTGTACTTTAATAAACGTATTACTTACTTCTCGTTAGCTTTTTTTTTTTTTCAAAAACATTAGTCCTAATATTCCGTCCGTATATATAAAGGTTTGACTTTATTCTCGTATTTATTTATCTTTATCACGGCCCTGATACTCCATCGAAGACTATGACCAAAATTCTTGAACAAATTAATTTGAAAAATCCTTTTGTCCTCTAGATGTCCCTATTGCAACGATTTGCACAAGAGTTTTTAGGGGTTTAGAGCTGGGAGTAACTCAAAATAATCTTTGCAGGTATGCGAACCTGACATATTAAAACGTGATCATAATTTGTGAGAAATAATGGATTATTTAAGTCAAATACGTAATTTTTGGTTAAATGAATGTAGAGGGACAATAATTGAACCTTGGTATGTTGGTATAAATATTTTGCAAGAAATATGAAAGAACATATTTAATTTAATTTAATTTTTTTATCAAACGTTTTCAGAAAAAACTGTGTTATGCTAGGTTTATGCCTGTCGTTACGTCGAGGACGTTGATTTGCATGAATGTTCTCGGTGAACTGACTCACTCGCTGTAGTTATTTGTTAAAGTTTTAATCCGGTGTCATATTTACATCGGTCGTTGTGTGTGATTGGTTGGTTATCCAACTGCTTTTAGCTCGTACACATAAAACAAAGAAGTCAGGTTAATGAGAGCAGTAACGGGGCAGGTGACGGTGAACGCGTCATCCGGGAACGTACACCGCGGACTGTGAAGGCAACAGAGGGGCAAGGGAACGCGGCATTAGCATCGTAGACCGTTACCTGCGGGACTCCGTCTAAAAAGAGACGCATAACTGACCATAAACCAGATTCGTTTACGGAAAAAAGGTAATCGTGTCTAACATACACAGAAAAAGACACAAACATGCGGACATAAATACACACAATCACTCATACTGAGCAAACTCCCATTAGCCTAAATGCTAACGGGCTTCTGTTCCCTGAGGAGTTGGTTTCCATTTAGAAGCAAACAGAGGGATTCCAGGTTAAGTGTTGAGTGAATGCGACATTGTTAGCCGCTGTAGCAACGAGGTTTGTCGGCTTTGTTTCCTATAAATATATTGCTTTTTCATATAGTCAAAATGCTAATCAGGCTAGCTAGCTTGAGCTAAGTTAACGTCAACATTTACTTTCTGTTTAGCTGCCTTGCCACGGGTTGTGTACACAGGTTAAAAATTAGCGCTGTTAGCTCAACATTAGATGATTAGCCACTCCAGGCTGCATTTAAATAAGTATGACAGTTGAAGTCGGGAAAGACCTTAATCGTGTATCATTTTAAGTGTTAGCGAATACACAATAACAATATTCTGTCTATTTGGGGAACCAAAAGCATAACCGTTAGTATCTAATGATTCTTTAAGGAACTAGAACCAGGGCCAATATGCATTTTAAGAGATAGTGTCAGGAGCAGTGTTTCGCATTTTTTTTGTTCACATAAGAATTCACAAAGAATTAGTGAATATATTTATCCTTTTTGTGTGTGTCATGTTCTGGTTTGCTTTGCTCTCATTCAGAGTGCTAACGTTGCGACTTGTGCGTTTTTTGTAAATGTTATTACCAAAACAGTGCTGCCCGTGGGGATAAATATACCAATTTTACGTCTAATAGTTCTACAGTTCTCCTCTGTTCTTTGGTTTAGCATACTCTAGCGTCTTCAAACTTTGTCCATTAGTTGACAACTGAAATAGTGTATAATCTTTTAAGCAGTGACATATTTGACTAGGTGTTTTGACAATCAAAGTAAAACAATGTTTTATTTTATTTTATCACCATAATTACAAATATATTGGTTGTGTCTCAACTGTGACAGAAAAAGTGGAAATATCTTATTTGTGGTTTAAAAGTTAGTCTTGTTCATGTGTGGAAAATGTTGCTGTTCTGTGATCTTACTATGATGACCTTTATGGGTAGAATAGCTGTTATGAAATGGCATAATGTGTTAAATTCACCACCATTTATGTAGTAACATCATAACATCCAATAAAAAGGTAAATAGCATATTAAGGTGGCTTCCCAGCATAACCAAGATGTGGGTGTCAGATGGAAAAACAAGTTATTTTTTTGGCTTTTCAATAAATATAATCCAATTTAATGAAAATGTCACCAGTACATTAACACACCATTGTGTGTGTGGTGAAGGCAGCAGATGTTAGAGGGCGAGTAAAGATTAGTCTAATATAGGATTCATTTCAATTGCAGGTTTTTTTTTGTTTTTTTTTGATCAAATCTACTCTAATTTTAGTCTTTCAGAAATCAAGTCACCTTCTTGGATGTTTTTTCAAATGGACATGATTTTCTATGGATACCACTTCCTTGTGTTTTAATTTTGATAACATTTATTTCAGTGCTTGAGCAGCTGATGTTGTTTTGATGGTTTTAGTGCACCTGTGTATATTGTTATTGAAATGTAAAACCCCTTCAAATTATGCCCCTCCACATATGGCTTGAAAGTAAATCAATGACATCACATCAGAATCAGCTTGTTGAACTATGCCTGTAGTGTGGTTATATCTTTGCCTGTTTTGCTGCTTATAAATTATTGACTAGCCAGCCTTTTGACCCTCTAGCATGTCCACCATTCTGAGCTAACAGCTGAACTGTGGTCTTAGGGTTGGGCATAGTAGCTTTGGCGCCATTGGAGCTAAGTCTGAGTCTGTTCTTTCCTGTACAATTGTCTGAGAGGTAATGGAATGTGTAGTCATTCAGAAAATCTTATATATATAAAACTGGACTGGGTGTCATAGCCTGACCCAGGTGAAGACAGCAACTTGTTAGTGGGTCAAGGTGTGGATACCTGAATTGTTTTACCTTAACTGCTTTTTATTCAGATATTCAGCAACCAATGGACCTAAAAACCAGCATTGACTAGTAGTTGGTTGGAATTAAAGGCTGCCATTTGGATTTTTTGTTCTAGTGAGCCTGTAAGGTGGGAGCATATATGTTTTACACTGCAGGTAGAACGTAATACCTTATGAGTATTTTAATGATTGATTTACATCTTTCTTTTTACTAATACTTGTGACCAACACTGTCCCTTATAATTTACTTTATAATGTAGAGAACTGTTTTGAAATACAAATACAAATGTCATTGATCCCAAGGAAGAAATTAATCATGGTTAGAAAATACTTTTCTAACCATGGGCTCTTTAGAACTAGTATATTAGGAATGGTTTTTGGGACCAACATTTGTTGAGCACCAATGCCAGATATTAGACAAGATAACAATAAACAAATAATAAACATTTACCAAATAGTAATGCTAGAATACGAAAAAGACTGGTTGTACAAAATCGCAAAAAATATTTAGTTCGATAAATAGAAAGAAAACTATGAAACAAAAATAAGTGAGAAGTAAATATACCCATTAAGTGCTTATGTAATTTTACTTATTGTCCAGTAAGAAGCTTATGATATTCTTTTTCCATAATATTTTTTCCATTTAGTTTAAAGGTAAATATATTGCTGCATTTATATATTTGAAAGCAATTTGGATACTTCTGGGTAAAAAAATATTCACAGTTTCAAAGGTGTACAGCACCACAGAACACAAGATCTCTGTGCTTTAGGCAGCTGGTCAACTGCTGGTCATCCTAAATACAACCACCAGCTGACGAGTTGGGTCCGTCCTGAGATACATTTCTTTTGCCAGTTGACAATCACCACTATGTAATACAATTAGCATGTGTATTTGTGTGTGTTGAGGGCAGGGCAGGGTACAAGGCAGCGCGTTGTACACCAGCAGCTTCCATTTACTTGGAACAAAAGCTCTGTTGTTATTGGACCATGTGACTCTGTCTGTGTGCGAACCTGCTCCGCCCTCATCATGTGACCAGAGCTGAGGGCAGAGTCTGAGAAGTGCTGAGTCGCTGTGAAAGGTTTCTTCCACCCTGTGACTATGCAGGCAGTGAGAGAAGAAGTG